TTTTTATATGAATCATATCTTGCCATAGGGTTTCAACTTTAAAGTTTTGTAAGTTTTTATTTTATTTTATTTTAAAATTTTGTTTTATACTTAATAGATATATTCTAACAAAAAAATTAGTATACTCTCTTTATCTCAGAATAATTGATATTTTTTATTTAGAATTTATCCCAGAATAATAGTTATTTTTTTTATTTTGAGAAAGATAAATAGTTTTTTTTTCTACTTTAACTCTATAATTATCTTTTAACTTTAATTATTTATTTTCTGATGGAAGTAGATATTTAATTTTAGTTATTTTTTAAGTATAAAATAAGTAAAGATAAAAATTATTTTCAAATCTTTCATTCGAAGATAAAACAAAAAAATATATTATTTTAGTATGGAGGGAGTAATATTTAAGTAATAAAACCTATCAATTTTTTATTATCACAAAAAATTGTATAATTTCCTTTTAGGATTTAGAGTTGTTGAGCTTACAAATAAAATTGAATATTATGGTAATATTGAAGTTATATGGAATAGAATTGGATCGGAGTAGAGAAATTGAAAAAAAAAAAAAGTACGAATCCATAAAGGGAACATATATGAATCCAATAAAAAAAAACCTTGGATATAGTCATATAGAGAAAAGCAATAGGAACATAAATCAGTATAAAAAGAAAATAAACTTGTATATAGTGTAATTAGCTTGTAAAAAGGGAAAAAAAATTTGTTTACTTGTAGAAACCGATAGAATGAAGAGATAGGATGTTGCCGTATTTCTGAACTATATTAATGACTTGTGGAGACAAGAAAATCAGAGGTCTGTATTCTCATTTACAAGTTAATTACTTTGATGTTTACTTTTTCAGTTTCTATAGCAATAACAGAAAAAGTATTTTCCACCATGAAAATTGTGAAAACGAGACTTCACAACAAAATAGATGATGAATTTCTCTCAAACTTTTTGATTGTTTAAATTAAAAAGGAAATAGTTTAGTCATTTAGTATAAACAATATTATAAATAGATTTTGTAACATGAAGATTGGTCGTAAGTTTTCAAAATTAGAATATATTATTTTAAGACTTAAAAAGCCAACCTTCCCCGACTAAAATTCCTTACTCCACCCCTGATCTTTACAATTGTAAAGAAATATAAGAATTTATTTATAATTTATTCATTTTATTATGTTTTCACTTATTTGGATGGCAATATATTTTATAGTTGTGTTTTCTATTTCATTATCTCATACATTTAACAATGTTAAAAATCGATTAAATTGACCAAACCACACTAATTTGATTTGAATTGGATTAGTTTGATTATCATATTATAATGAATTGAATTAATTTAAAATTTTTAATAATTGATTAATTTGAATTAATTTAAAAATATTAAAATTCGAATCAAATTGCACCTAGAAGACCCCTAGAGTCCACGATTAAATAAAATGGGAGTATTAAATTTTATTAAGGGAAGGTATCAACCACAGTTGTCAGTTCTTATTACTATTTGATTTTTATTTTTACTTTATGATAAATGATTGGTTTTAATTATTTGACGGAGCTAATCTATTTTATCTCATTTTGAATTAAAAATCAAAATTTATTTTTAATAAATCTAATTTAATTTCTTAATTTTTAAGATATAAATTTTAAAT